TTTTTTTTTTTTTTGAATCTAATATCCTTATTTCCTAAACTTAATTGCCCAAATTCACAATTTACAGCCCAGCCCAATTTACATATAACCTAGCTACCTAGCAAAGACATTTTACATTTTTACTTTCAGCCGAATCAGCCCCCTTTTTTGCTTGCCGCTTCTGCCTTCTTGCAAATTCTGAATTAGGGATTTCCCACTCCTCTCTCGCCTCTCGGAGTCTCGGTCGACTTTCCTCTCGAACCTCTCCTCTAATCCTCTGTCACCCTCACACTCTTCACTCTCACTCATGCTCAAACTCAGCCCTCATCTCCAGATTCTCCACAGCCCACTGTGAATCAGACCAATCGGTGCTTCCCTTCACTCCTTCAGCTCTCACCTCTCACCGACTCTGCGACTCACCGTGCCTACTCTACTATCTCGGTCGACTCACCTTCACAACGATACCCTTCAACTCTCGACCTCTCACGGACAGACGGACTCACGGTGCCATCACTACAGCCCTTGGCCCCTTGCTGCCCTGCAAACTGCTCACCTCCAGCTGAGCTCCAAGGCTGCTACTGGGTCGGCTCAACCAGCCTCTCACCGTGGCACCCTACCATCAGCCCGTCACTGCAAGTCAGCACTGCTCACCTCTAGCTCCTCCAAGGCTGGGTTGTCCTCTTTCTCTTTCGCGTGGCTTCCTCCTATGCAGCTCTGCCTCAGATTCATTTCAAACTCTCCAACTCTAGGTATTGCAATTTCTAAAGCTACCATTTTTGTGCTTTGCTTTAGTGATTCTAACTAGTATAATTTAATTTTTGTGCTTGAGTGCTTTAGTGTTTCTAACTAGTAATTTTTGTATTTTTAATTAGTAATTTTTAATTTAATTTTTGTACTTTAGTGCTTAAGTATTTTTAACTAGGAGGGTATACCAAAGTGGGGGTGCATAATAACGCTTGACTATAGTAATTTTTAATTTAATTTTTGTGCTTTACTGGTTTGTGCTTTACTGGTTTGTGCTTTACTGGTTTTTAACTATTAATTTTTAATTTAATTCATTTTTAGGTATCAATTAGCCAATGTCTTCACAAGAGCCTAGCCCCCCACTGATTCAAATTCCAAATGAATCAAGTGCAAGTATTATACCGAATGCTGTTGCCACACCAACTTCGTCCTCGACTATGGTTCTTCTTCCTCTTGCATTAGAAAGTGGTACTGGTGAAGGTAAAAAAGATGATCAAGGACATAAGCGGCCACTTACTTCTGAAGCATGGAACCATTATCGGAGGCAAAAAATTAATGGTCATTGGAAAGCTATTTGTGTCTATTGCAATAAACATCTTGGAGGTGAGACCAAGAATGGGACAAGCCATTTGCATGATCACACTCGGGTCTGTCCATTGAAATCTATTTCTGACATAAGGCAGACATTTTTGAGAGCTTCAAAGAATCAAGAAGGAAAAACAGAACTTGGGCATGGACTTTTCAATCAAGAGATGGCTAGCAGGGAGCTTGCATATATGATTACTGCGCATGAGTTACCTCTATCAATTGTTGATCATATTTTCTTTAGAAGGTTTGTTGCTGCTCTCTAACCAAGGTTCAAGTATGTTTCGAGAAACACAATCAAGAAAGATATCATGGGCATCTATCGTAATGAAAAGTCTAAAACAATGAAGTTGTTGGAGGTCAATCAAAGTAGAATTGCCATCACAATGGACATGTGGACTTCAAATAATCAAAAGAGAGGTTTTATGGTCATCACAGCACATTATATTAACAATTCATGGATGTTGCAAAATCGAATTATCAGGTGATATTTTGTTATTTTTGTTCTGATTTTTTTAAATATATATTTATGTTTATGAGTTTAGAATATTTAGTGTAATTCTTTCTATTGTTTTTTACAGTTTTCAATATGTGCCTTGTCCACATACTTC